AGCATTAGTTAGTAAATACTCATCTAAGTGTCAGCTAAAAGCAAGGGTAGTGCCTGTGGTGATGAGCAGAGTTTACAAACAAGAAATTGCTTCTTATCAACAGTGATCACAGGCCAAGGGGGAGGAAAAAATTCAGTGTCCAGTAATATGTGCAATACGTGATTGAAAGAACTTGAAATAAGGGCTGTTAGGTGCACTAATAAATCCTGTATACCAGATTGCCAACTTCATTTATTGTTACTTTTTCTCAAACTTTTTCCTTCATTTCAGTTTCAATTTTGAATACAGTTATGTATTCGTGTGTGTGTGTGTGTGTGTGTGTGTGAGAGAGAGAGAGAGAGAGAGAGAGAGAGAGAGAGAGAGATGGAGTCTCGCTCTGTGGCCCGGGCTGGAGTGCAGTGGCACAATCTTGACTCACTGCAACCTCCACCACCCAGATTTAAGCAATTTTTCTACCTCAGCCTCCCAAGTAGCTGGGACTACAGGTGCACACCACCACGACCAGCTGATATTTGTATTTTTAGTAGAGACAGAGTTTCACCATATTGGTCAGGCTGGTCTCAAACTCCTGACCTCATGATCCACCTATCTTGGCCTCCCAAAGTGGTGGGATTACAGGCGTGAGCCACCGCACCCTGCCACAGTTATGTATTTTTAAAGCATATGCTCAGTGGAAGATATCTTGTGATTTCTAAAAAAGTAATTTCTTCCCATAAAGTTTACATAAGAGAAAGAGAGTATGTGCGTGTTAGTAATTTTCCTGTTTACCAAAGAATCAGAGTCATAAAATAGTATAAAGGACAGAAATGCAGGGTGTCAATATCAGTAAGTGATACAAGCTTGGAAAAGCATCATATTACAGGTTGATTTTTTTAAAACAGAGATATTTTAAATGGAATACTGAGAAAAACTTAAGGCCATCAAATATATGCAAAAGCATTCAATGTCACCAAGTAAGACATATGCTTTATTCTTTTCTCTGGCCCAAGTAATGAATACTCTTCTCTAAAGTGAATACACATAAAAGTTTCTTCTTGAACTAACCTTCTCTAAATTGCCTGAAGGCTCCCTTTATTTAAGGTTTTATGAGAGCAAGAAAATGAAAAATATGACTATGCAGATATGGAATTATGTTTTCAGCAATAAAGAAAAGGGAGCTTTGCAGATTCCTAAAATAGTGCAATGCAAACAGACATTTTCTCCCCAAATAGTCATTGTTCTCAGCATTTTATAGGTACCATAGCATGATGTATCACTGAAATCAACACATAACATGAAAACACTATGTGTTGGCAGCATTTTCCTCAAATGAAGCAAGGAGAGGGAGACACCTCCGGTTACATTTCCCAAGCAGAACACGGTGATGTTGAGCGTTGGGCAGCCTTTTCTATTTAGTGGGTTTGAGTGTCTAAGGTTCATTATCATCAGTAGTCAGGGACAGGAAGTTCATATTCTCAGTGCAGGAGGCAAATGTCGGTAAAGGGACACCAGCCTTTATTCATTGCAAAAGAAACACACTACAACCAGAGGAGGGCTTCTCCTCTCACCATTCCCCAGGGTTCTCCCCACTCCCCACTCCAGCTTCAGGGAAATCTGGGAAGAACTGATACACCCATGCCAGCATCTAATTACAGAGGCAATACTGGAAGCAAACTGATTGGGCATGACATATTAAATTACCTGAGAAGGTTTAATCCTCTGATCATATTCAGACCTGAAGCCTATCTATGAAGGCCCAATGCATGGGCCAGCTTCTCAAACACTAAACATTCCCCATCACTGTCACCAGTGACCTGGAAGGGTGTATTTCACTTTCCACAGCATAGGAGGCTTCATATAGAGCCAGCCTACTGATATAGAAAGGGTTCTTAATCTAGGTTTCATGGGCCCCTAGAAAACCATGTATAGACTTTGTAGGTCTATAGTTCATCCCCTAAAAATATATCTCTATATTGTATATATCTTGTATTTGTCACTGTGTATGTCTGTGTGGAGGAAGGGTCAGTAGCTACTATCAGATTTACTTTTTAAGGAGCTTATGCCCATCCTTATATAGCATACCATGGAGAAGACAGATGGCTCCAAAATATTTTTTCCAGAAAGAAAAAAGTGATCATACCAAACACTTTTGCCAGTAATGTCTCTGTAGCAGCTCCATCTTCTCCAACGTAGAGAACTTTTGTAAGTGGTATCTTCATTTTGTATTTTTTAATACAAAGATTTTTCTTAATACAGGACATTTATTAATGCAGAAAAAAAATATCAAACACCCTTGAGAATTAAATTAGGGACATGATGTAAAGTATTCTGATGTATTTCTACACCCTCAATATCTGAATTGATTGAGGCAGGGCATCTGGGAAGAAAGTGAAAAATTCAGTTTGTCTTCCACGTTTTCTCTGTACCAGTTGTCCCCAGCTGGAGGGCAATTTTGTTGCCTTAGGAATATTTGGCAATTCCTGGAGACACTTTTGGCTGTTGATGGCTGGGGTGCAGGGCTGCTCTTAGCAGGCAGTGGGCAGAGACCAGGGATGTTGCTAAACATCCTACATTGCACAGGACAGTCCTGCAACAAAGATTCATCCGGCCCAAAATGTCAGTAGTGCTGAGGCTGAGAGGCCCTGATCTAAAGCATGACTACTGTTTTTACCAAAGTCTTCAAACCAGGCTAATCCCTCCGCACCTCACTTACCAGCCAGCCACAAAAGTAACTTCCAGTTCATGTTCCAGTTTGTCAATTGTTTAACCAGTCTCCTCCCCATGGGACCTTATTTATTCTCAGTCTTGTTACTGGGCTTCAAATCCAACACTGCTCCCACTGGTTTGAAAATCTCCCTTACTTCCTGTCTGGCATTTTGGACCTCAGGACAAAACAGTTTTGGTTGTTTTGTCATTGCTGAGTTGTTGGCTTTTTCCAGCTCCTCTGACCTCATAGTAGGACTGCATCTTAGAGCCCAAGATCTCCAGTTAGACAGACTTGAACTTGAATCTCAGCTTGGTCATTTAGCAGCTTCAAATCCTCATGCGATGCCTGGCACCAATCCTGCCCCAGAAAAATCTTCTTCTTCCTAAGGGAATAACTATTATTATCGTATGATCGAGCTAATACAAATATAGCTCTCATGTTGTGAAGCTTACATGAGAATGTATGTGAATTACGGTTGTCAGCTGGGGCTGATTCTTTGTAATCAACAGGGGTACTTCAAATAAATGAATTACAGGATCTACTCATTACCAGATTGAGAACTGCTGGTTAAAGTGCTGGGCTCCTTGCCTGGCACATGATCCATGCTGTCGAGGTGCACCTGCTGTTGTTGCTGCCATGACCATTGTCTGCCCCTCTCCTAGTTCCCCTGAACCCAGCTCTCCACCACTGCCCTCCAGGATATGAGGATTTAAATGTAACAAACTTGGGGAATTGGCTGAAAGTTTCATTTCTTATATAGACTTAAGAAATCCCATAGCCATTACTTTAGTCACAAAGCATGGCTTGATGAGTAGAGCCATAAGATTGTATTCTTCTTTTAATTGATATATATTAATAATACATTTGTATGGGGTACATGTGATTTTTCTATGCATGCATACAGTGTGTAATGATCAGATCAAAAAGATTTTATTCTTGACTGTAGAGTCAGTAATTGAGGGTCCTCTCCTCTGAGCAATGTCCTTCCTCTTTACATCCATTCTTAAAACGGGCTCATTTCCGTATGTTTTCTCTTATATAATATAGTGGCTAAAGAAACATGGTGTAGTAATGGCTGGGTTGTTAAATAGAAAATCCAGGCATCCAGTAAATTCCATTTTTGAGCCACTGACTTAATTTAATAAATATTTATTGGGCATTGGTACTGAAGTACTAGGTATTGGAGTTAAGTGGGCTAAAACATAAGGTGAATAAGACAAACCAATCAGAGCTTCACTACTCTAAAAAGCATCAGCTGTAATGCATTGAGTCTTTGTCACGTGCCTTGCAATGTGTTAGCTGTCTTATGAGCATATCTCATTCCAAACCTTTCTTGCAAGGGAAGAACTATTATCTTATTCCCAAGTTACTTAGAGCTTATACAGATCCATTCATTTGGCATACATAGCTCCTGAACAAACAAATAAGTCTTATAGCCACCTGGCATTTTGCAGTACTTTGCTTTTATGTTGGAAAAGCATATGGTTCTAAAATATGTGGCATACAGTAAACACAGCTTAAGGTATAGTAATAATAAGAGCATTCTACATAGATCGCCCCATAGAAGTGTCAATCCATTTTAAAGACAAGAAAAGCTGAGTCTCAGAAAGCCTAAGTCACCTGAGGCCTCACTGTTAGTAAGTGTTGAAGCTGGCACTGAGCTCTGACTGTCTCCTGTGGTGTTCTTCCAAATACCTGATACTTCTGAGAGTCATTATAGATAAACTCATCAACAAATAACCTTCTGTTCTCCTGGACTCAAGATAAGGTGGTTGCAGAAGAAAAATCTCCTTTCCTTATTTTACCATCCAGGCTCCTCTTCTTTATGTTCAACAGTAAGGACTCCATGCTTGGCATATTTCTTCTCAATGTGTCTAAAAGTGAGAAGAAACAAGTGCCCTGAAGCATTTTCTATCTCTTGATCTCAGGAATCCCCTGTGTCCCGGAAGGAAACTTGATGCCTATCCAGAAGCAAAGTTCACTTGGCTGCCCTCACCGTGGAAACGCGTTGCCACACCAAATGCACTTCCCCCTCCTGCTGACTAAGAGCAGCCAGTGGCCACCGCTATTGACCTGAGCTCTAATTAAGCTTGTTTTATAATGAGGAAAAGAGTACGATTCTAATTAGTAAATTTCTATCTGTGCTCGATAGGTATCCCCCAGTCAAAGCAATAAGCTATCCTCATCACACTGGTTCCATTGCCAAAAAAAATAACTGTATTGTGAAACCCTAGCAAAAGTGAAGATGGTTCAGGCAACAAGAGAGCGGAATGAGGTTTTATTTGCTGCTAATGAGCTGCATTCTCTCTCTTAGGTCCGTGGCGCTCAGGTAGTTGGTTCTGACATGATTGTGACAGTTGAGTTTACTAATCCCTTAAAAACAACCCTGCAAAACGTCTGGATACACCTGGATGGTCCTGGAATAACAAGACCAATGAGGAAGATGTTCCGGTAAGCCCTGGGTTGGGGAGAGCAGGCAGGCAGTGCAGAGCTGTGGGAAGCTTTCTCTGTGTGTGTCTTTTCCAAGCATAGATCCCCAGTGAAAATGTCTGGGAAGCTGCCTCCTCCTTGCTGACCGTTTCTGTGGGGCATGGAGTAAAACTAGGACTGATTTGACCTGCACGTCCATTATTCAATCCTTAAAGCCACCCTAATGATATAGATACTGCTATTATCTCCCTTCTGTAGCTGAGGGAGTTGAGGCTTTGAGAGGTTGACTGATTGGCACTTAAGTTACAGAGTTTATGAAAGCAGAGCCAAGATTTAGACTCAAGCTGGCGAATTCCACAACCCAAGTTTGAGCCATCTTGCCATACTACCTACTCATGTATGGATTCTTCTCATCTTTATTGAGGTCCTAACATGTGTCAGATACTATGCTCAGAGATGCCCCTTTTCATGGGTCCTTTGTCTCCAGCCTCACCTCACACATTTTACCAACCCAATGAGTGTCTACAACTGTTGAATTCAGTTTTTTTTTTTTTTTTTTTTTTTTTTTTTAGTTGAACCTAAAGAGTTCTAGATGGTTCCCCATTCAGGGGACCAAAGATGACCCCAGGCTTGGCAATGACACGAATGAAGCTCAGCCTCTTCCACACACAAACCCCTTCAGATTGTGCTTGACAGGTCTCAGTTTCTGTAACTTCTACTAACAAACAGTGTGACCCAACAAGATAACCCATTCCATGATCAGGTAGCTCTAATGGTAAGGAAACATTTTTCAACCATTTGATCCTACTAATGATCCTAATTCTGCCATCTGGACTGACACAAATTAAGGCCCATCTCTCTTCCACCTTATGGTTTGCAAATGTTTACAAATAGCTGTCTCATCTTCCTTGAATCTTTTCTACCTGGGGCTAAATATCTGCCCTGACTTTATTTCTCTCTCCTCTAACATGGTTTCGGCTATCTCTCTCTTCCACACACATTCCAATTTGTCACTGCTCCTCTTAAAGTGTGACACCAGAATGGATCCCAATCTTTGAGGTTTATTACTTTCATTTCTACCACAAATAAGTCCTTGTCAGCATCAATCAATCTAGCACATTTCCTGTGGGGTGACCTTCTAAGGCATAGAAAGGGAGGTAGAGGACTCTGGAAACTGCCTCGTGACTAGATATGTTAAGAATTTTCCTGACACCCTTTATGGAAGCAACCCCACTCTGGAATGTGTGGAATAAATGCAAGGCCTTACTTGTCCCCTCTGGGACACCTTTATTACCCGTGAAGGGCTCTCTGCATTTCTTTCAAATTACAATGCTCATAGCTTCTGCATCTGATCATTTAAGAGATGCCTTATTGTGGATGCAATAAACAACAGAGAAAATAATCTGAGTGCTTTTGAAACAATGCAAGCACAAAACATAACAACCTTCCTGTGCTAATAGGAAAGTCGCAGGAAAAAAAAGGAAGTAAATTAATAATCAACCCCAGCTAGATGGAGAGGTCAGCAGCCACACTCCTGCTTTCATCAGAAACGACAGTCTTGCTCACCCGTTCTCGCACCTTCCCACTCGAATCAGATGCAAGAATCGTTCAGGCAAAGTGAAACACATTTCCTCTTCCAAAGAGCCCCCTGCTGTATCCAATTTTTTCTTTCCAAAACAGTAACCCCACCAGCTTCATCTGAGTGTGCTAGAACTTCCTCTATCTTCACACCTTGGCTGTCATCAGACTCTCACCTTAGTCAAGACCAACACATGAAAAAGGACACTCCATGTCTTAGACCAAAGATGAATTATCACACAGGGCTATGACCCACCATGTGGGAGGCCTCAGGCTCAAAGTAGGTTAAATCTCCAGATGCTTTGTATTCTTTATATCTGGCATTGGGGTGGAGCAAAGCGGAGTGAATGGGGAGAAAGGCTGAACAAGGCCTGTCCCTACATGGACATAGGTGTCCTGCCCACACACTGGCTTAAGGTACTATTAGCAGTTACTACAACAACACCTAAGTCTAGGCAGAGAAGTAGACAGACAGACAGTTAGCTGGTCTTAGTCAGTTTGAGCTGCTGTAACAGAAATACCGTAGACTGGGTGACTTATACAACATTTATATCTGACACTTCTGGGGCCTGGGAAGTCCAAGAACAAGGTGCAAGCCAATTTGGTTCCTGATGATGGCTCTCTTCCTACCTTGCAGATGGCTGTCTTCTCACTGTGTCCTCACATGGGGACAGAGAGAGGGAGGGCAAGCTCTCTGGCACCTCTTCTTAGAAGGGCACTAATCCCATCATGAGCCCCACCTACATGACCTAATCTAATTACCTCCGCAAAGCTCCATCTCTAAATGGTATCACACTGGGGTTTGGGTGTCAACAAATGAATTTGTGAGGAGCACAAGCATTCAGTCCATAAAAGTTGTTAATCTCTCTTTTTAACTTTCTTTAATTGACACATTGGAATTGTACATATTTATTTGGTACAATATGATGTTTCAGTACATAATATATGTTGTATAATGATTAAATCAGGTATTTAGTGTATTCATCACCTCATGCATTTATCATTTCTTTGTGGTGAGAACTTACAAAAGCCTGTCTTCTAGCTTTTTGTAATCTACAATACCTACTGTTAACCATAGCTACTTTATCATGCAAGAGAACCCCAGGACCTATTCCTCCTGTTTAATTGTCATTTCATTCTCATTGGCCAACCTCTTCCCATCTTTTCCTCCATGTTCCCCTCCCCAGTCTCTGGTAACCACTGTTCTACTCTTTGCTTCTATGATATCAACTTAAAAAAAATTTTTTTAGTGTCTATATGTGAGTGAAATCATGCATTATTTGTCTTTCCATGTCTGGTTTATTTCACTTACCATGATGCCCTTCCTCCAGGTCTAATTCCTGTTGTTACAAATGGCATGATTTCGTTCTTTTTTATGTCTGAATAGTTATAGAAACCTAGATTCAGGGTAGAATGTCTCCCAGGCAAGAGAAGCTTTATTTCTCAGAGACTGTCAAAAATTGGGCAAAAAATCATGACATAGAAAACACTTGTTATCTAGGCTGGACTGACAACTTGGAGCAAGAGCTACTTTCTCTGTTTACTCCTCACTCCAGTGCACACCTTCACAACCAAGACCTGAGCCAGTCAGTGCCCACTTCCATATGGTCAGATAATTAGAAACACTCCACTGTGCCCTATGTTGCCAAGATCTGATCTAGGAGTGCCAGATCCATGTAACAACTTGGACGCCTAGAAAGTGAAATTCCACAGAACCAAAATCTTTTACAAGACTGTTCCTTTCTACTGTACAGCTCCTAAATAGTCGGGGAATCACCACCCCCACTCATTCACCCACGACAGATGTGGTATCTAGATGGCAGGGGTTCTTGAGCCCAAAGCAGAGGGCCTGGAAGGTGGGGAGCTGGTAAGCAGGGAATTGAAGCCAGAAACAAAGAAGGCGGTGCTGTATCTCACCCCTCACTCGCTGTGAGCCAACTCTACTCTGAAATGGTTTACCTTCCTGCTCTTCTTGCACCGCCTCCTGCCTGTCTCAGATGTGCCGAGGTTTCACCTCCACAGACTCTCAGCTTTCTACACTTGATGCCTCCAGAGCATCAAATAATTTACCTTCCAGATTTATTATGCTCTTTAGAAGATAATCCAATTCAATAAGTTATTTCAAGAGAAAAATCCCCCCACTTTGTGATTTGGGCTTAAATTATAAGTTTCTCAAATAAGACAGAAGCTGAGGGCTAGGCACACAGAGGACAAACCATGGTAGCTGCAGTTTATTGTAATAATAATCCCATTTGCCTTCGTGCATTCAGGATGATGAATGGCTGGTATCTCCTGATGGCTCAGCACGTTACTGAGAATCATTTATCACAACATCCATTCCCAGAAAATAGGATTACTCCAACATTGCTCCACTTACCAAAATGACTTTCTTTCTGTGATGAATTTATCTGTATGTAAAATAGCAGGCATATGTATCTTCACGTATGAGTTTTTCACATGTACACATCATTATGCCAAATGGTTTTATGAGTAAGAGCAAATGATAAGGGGGAGCTGAAGATTTAGCTTCGATTTGAGGTGGTTACGTACAGTACATGGTCTCAGGTCAGGTCCTTAGCCAGGGCCACGGTTTCACAAAGTGCTTCTGATTGATCACTTGGGGAAACCAGAGGAGAGAGTATGAATGGATACAGGTAACAATAGCACAGCTTTGAGAAATAAATATCCCAAACCTATATTGGTATTGAATTGAGGATTGTGAATTAAGGACAGAGAATTTTCTCTCTGCATACAGGCAGGAGAAACTTTTCTAAATTATTTTGCAAAGAGTTCAAGCAGAGGAAAAAGAAGAAGGATGAAGAGGAGGAAGAGGAGGAGGAGAAAATTTCTAACACTACTTGGCACTTACCATATCTTACCTTGTTTCTAAGTATGGTACAAATATTAACACACCCTACCCTCTCCACGCTCTACTCAATATTCCGTAGTGTCTACTGTTTACAGGTGAGGAAAACAATGATGAGGTCAATGTTTTCCAAACCTTGAATCGTAAAATCAATTCACTGGGTTGGACAAAATATTCACATATATAGGTCATACACATATGCGTTTTTTACATAGTTGGGCTTTCACATAACTGATTAAAATAATTTTATAGCCACATTTATAAAGGACAAAAATGAAGAAAAGCATTAGCAAATACTAAATTAATTAAACAGTTTAGGTTATCAGTGTCAAAGTCAGTGCTTGAAACAGCATCACAGATAGAGCTCCCAAGGCCGCAGATACTTTTTCCAATTCACTAACCACAGATATGACAGAGAAGGGGACTTCCTATTTAGTGTCTGAATTTCTGAGATTTGAGGGCTTTTCCCTTTTTATCCCAAAGGACATACACCCACAGCCAGCTGGAATACACATTGTTTTACCGATGTTTGAGGAAATCTTGGGGTTCTAACTTTACATAGGGCATGTCACATACAGGTATATGGCCCCATATCTCCCCCCTCACTTGAGTTTTGTTTGAAGTGATGCTATATGGTCCCAGACCCCCAAGGGCAAATGCAGGCTCACGTAGCCAAAGCCCTTGAGCCCTTCTTGGCTTCCCTTGACAGTTCCCTTTCCTTGCAACTCCTCACACAGCCACACTAGTCCAAAGCTCTGAGTCGCCCAAACTCCCTTGGCGCTCCCAGTTGACCCCATGGTGCCTGATAGGGAGTGCCTTACTCCAGCCCTCGAGCACTCTCTCAGGGAACTCTCTCAGGGTCTATGGATCTGGCCACAGAATTTCTTTGCACAACACGTGCCTCTTTTCTGAACATAAGCATTGTCTTCAGGCCTCCGACGTGTTTCTTTCCTTGACTTTCCGTCATCCTTTTCTGACCTCAGTTGCTCCCACAGCCCCAGTTCCCTTCACAAGCTTCCATGTTGTGGGTACTGGCATGAACAGTGGGATTCTCGTCTGGCTTGGCCATTTATCAGTTGTGCAATCTGGGAGAAGCCACTTGATGTCTTTGAAATGTCCTTTCCTTATCAATAACCTAGGGGATAAAAATGCTTTTCTTATTGGGTGGATTAGGAATTCAACCCAGTACCTTGCACTGCTAATCCCCTTTTCCTCTGCAGTGTTTCTCTGTACCATTTCATTCCTCTGGATACAGGCCCTCCAGGGAGAACTGAGAACCACAGATCGCTTGTGTGCTCAGACAAGCATCACTGAAACTCAGCAATAGTTTGTGGCGCAGACCCCACCCATCCTTTGAGTCCACACATCATTTGGGGGAAAGCATTTGGTACAGATTTCAGCCTATTCACTAACGTCAGAAACACCGCGTTAAGGCTGCAGTTACCAGATTTGCTCATCTACGGCAACTGAGTAAACCAGCCACATGGGTAACATTCCCTTCACTTTCTACTTAGCCTAAAATGTGGATATAGCACAGGGATTGCCTTCACCTACATATCACCACAACCTACTGATCTGGCAAAATTTTGTCACATGACAAACTCATTTGGTGAGGATTAGAGATGGAGGAGCAGCGGAACCACTCCTTTGTCATGTAAACGAGGAAAGAAACTGGCACAACAAGATGGCAACAGCTAATATTGTACCAGATCCTGCCCTGGGCTCTTTGTTTGGATTATTTAATTATCATGGCAGTTCTATGGAGTAAGCCTTGGATAATTCCTATTATGCAGATGAGAAACTGAGGCTTAAGGAAGGATAATACATTGGCTAAGATTACACAACTAATAAGTAGGAGAATCAAATTTGTTTTTTTTTTTTTCCCTAAGCTCAAGTATACTGACTCCAGAGTCTATGGAGCTTGTAATCAGTAGACAATATTTCATTATACAGACACTAGTCATTACACATCATTTAGATAGCAATGTCTGATTTTTTAAATAATTTTTAAAAATACATTTATTCCAATTTCTCTCTATAACTCTTCCTCTATACATAGCTTTTCTCCTCTATAGCTCTGACAGGCCAATGTAACAGTGAAATAAGCCTCACATGTCATAGTGTTTATTATGCTGCTATACCATAAAATACTATAAACAAGAACCTTTTTTCTTGGTATTCTTCATTGTATATATATCGACATCTCCATTTTCATAACTCCTGAACACCCAAAGCTGCTAAGTATTTACAGAGGCTATAGGTCCCAAACCCGTTGTAATTTAAATTCCGTACATGCCAATTTTAGTTACCATGAAGTATCTTTAAGAATCAATGGAGTTTATTTCTGAACAAGTCATATATGGAGGAAGTCATGCACTACATTGCACAAAAAAACACATGGAGCAGATTGTGCCATGTCATCTCCAGGGGGAAGCAGCCAATATTTTGCTATGTGGCATGTCTTCTTATTGTCCTTCACTTTGCTTCCTGATGTTCAAGTTTTCATGAAATTTAAAATAGCATAAACTCTATTCTACTGGTAGGAATCTAGAGAAAGAATATGCAGCTGGCTCTAACTCTATCTTTTCTATGACCAGAGCCATTAGGTTCTGGGATCTTGGAGATGGTGTAGGCTTCTTCAGACCTCAGTTTTCTCCTCCGTAAAATTAGACCGATTAAGTGATTTCTAAATTCCTTTCAGATTCTGACGTTCGGTGCCTCAACAATCCCAGGAAAATAGTCACTTCTGTTTTATTCCCTTTTCAAGACACTCATGGCAGTCAGTTCATCTGCCACTCTCTCTGAAAAGGGCTGGCCCAGAACTCTGTGCCAGGCCACCCAGCACCTGCTCTACCTGAGGCTCAGAGAGCAGAGATCAAGAATCCTCCATAAACACTTGCAGGACATTCTTAATACTAAGTCAAAAGGCATCTGTCCTGCTTGAGAAATAAAACCTATGAAAAAGTAAGCACAGTGGTCAGAAAAAGTCTTCTCTTTTTTTATTTTCATAGGTGTCTGGAGAACAGGTGGTGTTTGGTTACATGAATACGTTCTTTAGTAGTGATTTCTGAAATTTTGGTGCACCCATCACTCGAGCAGTGTACACAGTACCCAATTTGTAGTCTTTTATCCCTCACCCACTTCCCACCTTTTCCCTGAGTCCCCAAGGACCATTGTATCATTCTTATGCCTTTCCACCCTCATAGCTCAGCTCCCACTTATGAGTGAGAACATAGGATGTTTGGTTTTCCATTGAGTTACTTCACTTAGAATAATGGTCTCCAGTTTTATCCAGGTCACTGTGAATTCCATTATTTCATTCCTTTTTATGGCTGAGTAATATTCTATGGTACACATACCACAATTTATTTATCCACTTGTTAATTGATAGCATTTGGGCTGGTTCCATATTTTTGCAGTTGCACATTGTGCTGCTATAGATATGTTTGTGCAAATATCTTAGAAAAAGCCTTTTCTTATAGAACATATGGTGTACACTTGTATAAAATGTAGTGAGTCGTAGCAGAAAGAGTTGGAATATAGGACTTAGGAAAACCTGGGTTCAAATTTTATCTCTGCCCGTTTACCAACTATGATGTTGAAAAAGGGACTTCACTGGTTAAACTTCCATTTTTCTTAATCAAAAAAAAAATATACTGAATATTACCTGTCTCAAGGAACTGTCATACATATAAAACTTGAATATAATCTCCTCCCAAGGTTTATAAGGGAGGCTATATGTGAAGCACCCCAGAGAACCCTAAATCCCCCCAACCCTGATTATCCTCAGTCTGCACTGAAGTGGACTTGTTCGTGACACTCAGGAAGACTTTGGGGCAGAAGCTGGCAGGAAGAGAACACCAGAACCATTAAAGGCTATATCATTAGCGAGATAGATTAGGGCATTGGCAACAAATCATTAGCAGAAAGTTGCATAAGTGGAGGGACCCAATTTGGTGGTTGAAATAGGAATGTGAATTACAGCACATGAGTATTCTCAAAGTCACATGGCAGCAGGCAGGGCTACGTTTCAGATGCTGAGCCTGGGAACAAGGTCTAGCCCAAGGGGGTTGGCAAAAGCTAATTTGAGTGTCAGGGCCTCAGCTACGGCAGCTGGGGGATTTAGATAGGACTCTACTCCCAGGAGAAAACTAGTGGCAAAAACTGAGCTGAGGCTCAGAAGATCAGTCTCATAGGTAAAGCTACTGTGGAAGACTCGGGGACAAGCTACAGTTCAGTTGATTAATGGTTGGGTGGGGCTCAGCCCGGCTCCTGATAGCCTCTGGGAGGCTGGTGGATGCATCCCAGTGGAAGGAACCATGACCCTTCCACTGGGAAGGTCAGTGACGGGTTCTGCAGAGCCTCATGTGGGGTCCTCATTTGGGGCATAACTTGCTGAATCGGCCAGAGTCTTCAGTCCCCTAAGCGCCAAATGAGAGAAAGAAAGCAAGTGACTCAGACTAGAGTTTTCATTACTTCCTGATCCAGGTGGGAAGCTGGATCTGCCAACCTTTGCTCTCTTTTCCATCCTTTCAGTGAAATCTTGCCCAACTCCACCGTGCAGTGGGAAGAAGTGTGCCGGCCCTGGGTCTCTGGGCCTCGGAAGCTGATAGCCAGCATGAGCAGTGACTCCCTGAGACATGTATATGGCGAGCTGGACGTGCAGATTCAAAGACAACCTTCCATGTGAATGCACAGGACGCTGAGATGAACCCAGGAATTTGGTCTCTTGTAGTCTTGGCTAAGGAAATTCAAATGCAAAAATAGTCAGCTCTTGCTTTGGCTTAGGTGTGAAGACCCAGACAGGAATGGAAGGGCCCCAGAGTAGGGATCTCATATATTTCGAATACATACTTTTCAAAACCCAGGCTATTTGGCATGGCAGTTAGTTTTTAATCACTCCACCTTCCAAAGAATGCTGAGCATTATCTTTAATTAAGCTCTAATTAATCTCTCATAGCTCATAAGAGTAACAGTCATCATTTATCATCACAAATGGCTACAGCTCCAAATATCAGTGGGCTCTCTTACCAGGGAGATTTGCTCAATGGCTGGCCTCATTTAAAACAAGACTTCAGCTTCCCCACTCAGCCTTTTGGGAATAATAGCACATGATTTGGGCTCTGGAATTCTATTCCCCTTTCTTGGAGTCAGGTTCTACCCTCCATGTCAGAATATTTTCCCCAGGACTGGAGCACAACATAATTTTTATTTTTGGCAAAGCCAGAAAAAGGTCTTTCATCTTGCACCTGCGACCAAGCAAATGCCTGCCAAATTTCACAGATTTACCTTGTGAGAAGATGTGGCCCCATATTAACAAATTGCATTTGTGAGAAACTTAATCACCTACAAGGAGATAAGAAAGCAGGCGAAATGTTCGAGCCTATTGAATAAGGTGGTTTTATGGGGCATTTTATAGAAGGTGTTGTGCTGTGGCCTGATCAGCAGGAACCAATATCCCTTACTTTAACCCTTTCTGGGTTGCAATTCTAGGAAGTAAAGTGAGGAATTTATCTCTTTAGTTAGTGACTATATTTCACCTATCTCTCAGGATTCATCTTTGCAGAATGACACAGCTCCAGCTTCCTTTTCAGAGATATAATAAGCCCAACATGTTGGAGAAGGTGGCAGATCTAGTGGCCAGATGTGTAGAAGGACAGCAGCCATTGATTATCTCTTGTCCTTCACATCACCCATGTTGAGACCTCAGCTTGGCACTCAGGTGCTGAAGGGTAACATGGACTCAGCCTTGCAAATAGCCAGTGCTAGTTCTGACCCAACCACAGAGGATGCTGACATCATTTCTATTATGCTCCAAGGCTACCACAGACACGTCTCCATGCTATTTATTTGCAAGGCTGATTTATGGTCAGAATTTCCCACTGACATGTCTAGAGTGTGAGTTAGGTCAGCAGACTATGATTCTTAGCAAAAAAATGAACAGTGGTAAGACACTGGGAGCAAAATCAGAATAGAATGCTCTAGTCTATATAACCACATTTCCAAGCCTTTGAGACTGTTTCAGAGCCTGCAGCACTAACCAAGAGGGTGAGCTGGTCTCCTCTATAGATACATCGTACTTAACTTTACTAAGTAATCTCACAGCATTTGCCAAGTCTCCCAATACCCAATTTTAAAATGAATGCATTTTGCTAGATAAACTGGCTTAACTTAGCATACTATTACTAATTAGAATGTCATAGAAGCTTAAAATAAAGTTAATCTGATTATATTTGCATCTGCACAGAAGTGAATGCTCTTGATTTTCAATATAATATACTGCTAACCACAACTTCTTGAGAAACCATCCTTCCTCCACAGTAGACAATCCACCCTGGATAGGAAAACAAGCATTTATCCTCTGAAGAAAAGGACTGTAACAGGTGTTAATGTCACAGTTAGTTTTCTTCAACTCTCTCTTTCTACATTTTATTAGCTACATTCACTGAAGGATCAGGTTGCATATTTAGCTCAAAAACAAGATTCCGGAAACTGTAAAACCTCTGTAGATATTTTCTCCTGAACAATCTCATGAACTATTGTGGTGAATCAGTGGATAGCCAGCATGGAGGCATAGCATAATGAACTGTTACGGTCTTACAATAGGGATGAAAAATATATGACAATCATGTGGAAGAGATCCTGTATTCGTGGCAGACATCACCGAACAATTGTAGCTCAGATAAGACCTCAGAATCTTTCCCAAATCCAGGTAGCAATTAGCAACTGATTTGAAACTAGCACCCAAGACAGAACGTGTTTGTCATGCTTACCCTTAAGACTAGCCCATCCCCTCTGATAGCTGGTATTTCACACATGTATTAGTGCTATGGCTCTAAGAATTATAATTTAGCAATGGTAACAAGCAATGTATCTCAGATAGCAGCAGAGACTATG